TAGCTGAGAGGTTACTCTTTAGCTTCTTTTTCTACCTGAGCCACAGCCATCCAACATTTCTTTGTCCACTGTGAAGCTGGCTATACATAAGGACCTTAGGTATTCTTCTGTCATTCAACCTTGGAACGTGACCAGCCCAACGAAGTTGTGACTACATCAGGAAGGTCTCAATACCACCAATATTGTATTATCGTTAGAAACAAAGAAAAGAGTGTTGAACTCTTATGTAATATTTAATATGTTACATGACAATGAATGCTGGACAATCACCGCTGGCCTTTCATAAACAAAGCAAAGTATTAAGAGTGGGAAAAACGTCTTTAGCAAGAAAGAAGAGAGTGCTAAATTGCTATGTAATATGTAATCTCCTATATGGCAATGAATGCTGGACAACCACCTCAGGCCTTTCATAAACTAAGCAAAATATTAAGGGATACGAAAATGTTAGAAACAAAGCAAAGAATGCTGAACTGCTATGTAATATCTAATCTCCTTTATGGCAGTGAATGATGGACAATCTCTTAATGCCTTTCATAAACTAAGCAAAGTATTAAGAGATAAGAAAATGTCGTTAGAAAAAAAGAAAAGAGAGCTTTACTGCTATGTACTATCTAATCTCCTATATGGCAATGAATAATCGACAATCTCATCATGCCTTTCATAAACTAAGCAAAGTATTAAGAGATAGGAAAATGCCGTTAGAAACGACGAAAAGAGCTGCTGCATAGCGCCGATGAAATCTAAAGGCAAATGATCACAAGGAAAGCTAAATTTACATTCAGGAATCGATAGGTTACATTTTAGGGACATACAAGGAGAAAAGAGGGCCTGTAAAACGCAAGCACTCACAAGGCATATTGAAGACAAAACAGGTCGAATTTTGGGCACATCTATTAAGGAAAGAAGGATTGAAAAATGTAAAACAGGACATATTGAATTTAATTATTGCAAAAGAATTTGAAGGCTATAGATCTGATATTTCTGAGGAAAGAAGGCCTGCGGAATTTAACACTTGCAGGGCGTACTGAAAACATTAGAAAGAGGGGGAAAACAACGTGTAAGCTACATAACGAGATTGTATGCGGATTTTCCAAGCGTAGCTTCGATGTTGCACAAGGCCGAAAATATGGGACACCTAGTGAGGATCGAACTCAATAATGAGTCGTAATTGATCTAGCGAGACAAACCTAATGAGTTTGTATGAATGGTTAGTAAAACAATGCCAAAGAGGGATGGCAAATAACTTTTGAAGAAATAGTGGAGAGCCGTGATTATGTTCTCTATTTCATCGGTTATTCAAGTATCTTAAAATGATCTAGCGCGCGTGTGTGTGCGCATGCGCGTGTGTATGTGTGCGCGCGCGTGCGTGCGTGTGTGTATGCGTAAGTGTGTGCACGCGCGTGTGTGTATGTGTGTACAAAAGTAGCCAGCGAATAATTCGTTTTTAATACTTTGCTTACCCTCCGCTTTTCACGCATACACACCAAAAAGCGTTGGGGACATTTGCACACACCTGATATTTGCTTTCACACGCTTGCAGTAATACCATCTGAAAATGCCAGTGTAATCATTTCAAGAGTTCTTAATTCTTGAAATATTTTGGCAAAAAATAGAATCGCGGGAAACATTTAGCGAATTTTGGCACTGTACGATTGAAAAAGCTTTCACTGAATCGAGAATCTGCATATCTGAAACGATATTTGTATCCAGATGAAAATTTCTATTTTCTTTTTAACTTATTTTTATCTTTTTGTATATGTAAAGTTTTTTTTTTTTTTTTACGTCAACAGAAAAATCTACGAAACAGAGATGGGCGATTTGCCTATTTATCTGTAGTATATGTCTTCTGATGACGTATTTTGTCTTATTTTAAACTTGACAAAAGAAAAAAAAACGGTTTATATTTTCAATTATTTTTAATCCACATATTATTTTAGATCCGAGATAAATTGATAGTAATTTTGTAATTACATTTTATCAAAATCTTAAACGATGGCGTCGTTTAAGACGACATAAATAAACTAGCATATATATATATATATATATATATATATATATATATATATATATATATATATATATATATATATATATATATAGTGAGTATATATATATATATATATATATATATATATATATATATATATATATATATATATATATATATATATATATATATATATATATATATATATATATATATATATAGTTAAATACACACATAATGAAAGACGGCTAGGTTTTTAATCAACTTTTCTTGCTTACGATTCAAAGGACGAACATTAAACGGAAATTCGTGAATGAAAAGTCCATATTCATATAAAGGGAGTGTGCTAGTATTTACGACCAGTTCCATCACTCATCATGAGGGTTTAGAAAGATGAAAGTTAAGTTTTTTTTTTTTTTTTTTTTTTTTTTTTTTGCGTCTGAATTTTCTTTTTGTGGTGGGGAGGTGTTTCTGACGAAAAAAACATTTGATAAATTAATCAGTTAACATTTGTAATTACAGTCTGTAGTCATTATAATATAGGGTGACGTAGCTCGCATATTTCTAAGCGACCTCTCTGATGATGATTGATGGAACGGTCAAAACCGCGTTCTCTATTTTTCACACCCAATTCAACGATGTGCTCTTCATTCAGTGATTTCCATCTAACGTCAAGCATTTGGTTCGAAACCAAGAAAAGTTGATTAAATAAAACGAAACTTTCATTCATTCATATGCACCCATACCTCATACATTTTTAATTTTTAAATCATTCTGAATGTAAAAATAAAGAAAAAAGTGTGCAAGACAATAAGAAACACTACCTGCCAAAAAAAAAAATGAAGTTTTGTTGAAATCGGTTGAGAAATGTAGGAAATCCGATCCCATATATAAACAAACACACACACACAAACAACCTGGGTTTTATAATAAGTATAACTCGATATGAGTTGTCGCCCTTTCATTCTCGCGATGCCTCTTAATCGTATTTTCAAATTGATTTTGTGCAAAAACAATTGTGTTTTTCCAATTTTTGGCGCTGTCAGAACCACCACAAGGTAATTTTACGTAGTCCTGTGAAGTTTTGTTGAAATCGGTTGAAAAATATAAAAACGTACAGACACACACACATAACCTGGGTTTTTATAACAATTATTATATATATATATATATATATATATATATATATATATATATATATATATATATATTATGTATATGTATATATAAATAAAAGAAAGAACAGTAAGATATATAATCTGGTGTTCTTATTAATATTTTTTATTTTTATAAAACAGTGCTCAATGTAAATTTACATAGCATAAATATTATAAATTAACTGATTTAAAATATGGTTTCTTTGCTACACCATAATAACCATGTTTCAAAAGCTGAAGCTAAAAACTTCAAATTTATTTATATAATTAAATTAAAAGCATTAGTTCTGTTTCGTCTTCAAGGGAATTTTGAATAACTTATTTTTAAATTCAAGGAGTTTTAAACGCACATACAATTTATAATTTTTAGTTTGCAAGGATGCAGAGAAATCCAATCATTCACACAGGGGTGGTAGCGTTTTCATTTTTATTAACTATTATTGTATCAATTATGAGTTACATTCGAAAAAGAGGTTAAATTTATGGAGGGTAGGGGTTTATTTTTCAACGAATTCTGACATCCGTTAAATGCATGTCGTCTGGTTTATTTTATTATTAACGAGAAAAAGTTTTTCGGCATTTTTTCGTACTTGTATACTTAAAAGATTCTTTCTAAAAGCGGTGTTTTGGCTAGAATACGTTATATTTACCTACAATTTTAAAATATTTTTGCTCTTAATTACTAATAGACTATATTTCTTTTTAAATCAAGTAAATGTAATAGAATTACTTAAATTATTTAAAATTATTTTTCAGATCAAATATAAGTATGTATATTAAAATTTTTGACAATGACGGCAAAGAATAGCTATTTCATTTATTTGATTCAGTAATTTTTTATTTTTATAAACTTAGTAATATATAGTTTCTCATGTATGCACAAAGGATATATGTCATTTAATGACCTACATATTCTGGCTTTTCTTATTAATTTCCAATTGATTTTAGGTGTTTTATTGGTTTCTTTTGCCAGAAAAATATATATATATATATATATATATATATATATATATATATATATATATATATATATATTTCATTGAAAAATACATCCCTATCCACTACCAAAATGTAGCACTAATTGATACATTAAAATATAGACATATTGAACACCCAGACACCTTGTCTAGAAAAATAGATTTATCTGTAACCTTGGAAACATGAATTTTGTTTTAGCTGTGTATTTAAAACTCAGTAATTTTAAAAATTACTCCAAAATTGCTTGAGGATGACATGGAACTAATGTCTTTAATTTAATTACAAAATTAAATTCGGGGCTTTTAGCTTCCATTTTGAAACATGGTTAGAACTGTGTAGCGAAAAAACATATTTTAAATCAGTTAATTTATAATATTAATGCTCTGTAAATTTACATTGAGCACTATTTTGTAAAAATAAAAATATCTATAAGAACACCGGATTATATATCTTACTTTTCTTTTTATATATATATATATATATATATATATATATATATATATATATATATATATATATATATATATATATATATATATTTGTGTGTGTGTGTGTGTGTGTGTGTGTATGTATTTATATACATCGAAATGTAGAAGAAAGAAGAGTGAGTTTTCAGCGTTCAAAATATTAATTTAAAACAGGGCTGAATACAAAACTAGAGCAATAAATATTTATTATGCAGTGTTACATTAGGACATGTACATACCCACTACAAAACTGTACATCTTGTTTCAACGTTAAAAAAATTATTAACGTTTCATCAGATGGGAAATTACAATGCTGCTAAAAAATTTTATTCCGAAATACAGTTAATGAAATACATTTTCCTCTTCCGTCATTTGAAAGTTTCCCATAAAACTTAAAAAGGATTTACATACGGAGAAAGAAAGAGAGCTAAGTGATTAGTAACAGCGAGAGAGAGAGAGAGAGGGAGAGAGAGAGAAGAGAGAAATAAGAGGAAAATCTGTTTTCTGTGCCTCTTGATAAAAAAAAACGAACTCTAGTCTATGTTAGCTTCATACAATTCCTTTTTATTCTCAAATCAAAATATACTTTTTCCCAACAAGATTTCCATGTATAAATTGTTGTCTAAATTACGCAAAAATGAAAATAACACTGACTTCTCATTTTAACAGATATTTTTACCAAAATTAGACAAAAATATCTTGAGAATACTAAAGAGTAAGTTTATTCAATAAAATCGCCATTGGCTTCAACTACAATCTCCAGATGACTTCGGAATCTCCTGCAACTCTTCTGGGCGGGTTACATGTTTTAGTTAGTAAATGCTGCAATAATCCTTGCTTTCAGTTCATCTTTGATGTTACAAGGAGATTTGTTGGTCTCTCGCTCAACTGCGACCCACACATAATAATCTAGGGGGTTGCAGTATGGTGAGTTAGGTGGGAAGATGTAAGGTGTGATGTGGTCGCAGAAATTATCTGACAGCCATGACTGGTTTCTCCTGCTTGTGTAGCATGGTACAGAGTCTTGTTGCCAGACATAGAATGTTCCAGCAGCCATCCTCTTCACCCAGGCCAGCACATGATGTAGTCCTCCGTGTTGAGTCTGAGGCACTCACCAACAAACTCGGCTGTTTTCTTTTCTTATCAGACCGATTAAAATAACCAGCCTTAGAGTCATTTAACTCTTTCCAGATCATTTTCACTGCCCTCAGATTGACACACAAACAATCCGAAATGTTCGCATTGGAGTTTCCGGCACGAATGCCAAACAGTACAGCAGGCCATTTCCAAACTTCTTACGGAATAAATTGCATCATCGTTCTCTTTTTCTCACAGATGGTGCCCAACTTACTCTACAACACTGCGCAATCGAAAATTCAAAAAACAAACGACTCTAGATAGATAGAAAAATTCAAAAACAAACGATAGATAGATAGATAGATAGATATGAACAGACTCAGATAAATAGTTATGTACAGACTCAGATAGATAGATAGATAGAGAGATAGATAGATAGAGAGATAGATAGATATGAACAGACTCAGATAGATAGATAGATAGAGAGATAGATATGAACAGACTCAGATAAATAGTTATGTACAGACTCAGATAGATAGATAGATAGATAGATAGATAGATAGATAGATAGATAGATAGATATGAACAGACTCAGATAAATAGTTATGTACAGAGATAGATAGATAGATAGATAGATAGATAGATAGATAGATATGAACAGACTCAGATAGATAGATAGATAGATAGATAGATAGATAGATAGATAGATATGAACAGACTCAGATAGATAGATAGATAGATAGAAACCCCAGTTTAGCCTCGGCTTTCAAGATGAAGATACTTGTCAGCAAGAGTAAAAACCGTTTTTAGAGATTTATCAACGAATCTCTTTTTTTGCCACCGCACTCCCTAGACCCTCTTCGCAAACACACACACACACACACACACACACACACACACACACACACACACACACACGAACACGTGTGTGTGTTCAAAAGGGAGAAACTCGCAGAAAATGTGTCTGATAATGAAAGCACTTCAACTCACAAATCTCAAAGACCCTAAGGAATTACTATTTCTTTGTTTTTCTATTTTTTCTTTTCTTCTAACATGAAGCGTTTTATTTTTTGTTTTGTTTTTTTTTTTTGCAATTATTTGGCCTTAATTCGAAGCCCTTATGTAAAACTCTTAAATAACCCTAATTCCTCCAGTATAATCACAAAGATTCGTAAGACATGGAGCGTGGTAACAAGTTCAGGCGAACGCAATTAGCAAACTCTCTGTTGACTGGGCGAATGTTTGCCCCAACGAAAATGAACACCACACATTTTCTTGACCCCAAAACTGACCACTCATCCCTAGCGCTTCTCCAATTTTATGGTAACATTGTGATCTGCCGTAGCTGAAATAATCCGCAATGGTCAACTATCTAATCTGAGAATATTTTTTAATTGAGAAACATTAACTTAAGTTAATAATACACGTTCTAAAATCTTCCAGGAATTTATTATCCATTCTCTGTTTATGTAACGTTAAAATGAAACGTATTTGCAATGTTACAAGGTAACGCTGTGAATACATAGCGAGTAGTCTAAAGTTGTAAAGTTGTAGCAATGTGATTTTTTAATCTTGCCACTCCATTCAAGGGCATAAAGCCACTAAGACACAAGACTATAAGGAGTGGCAGATGCTATGGAAGAAAGGTCATTTTCTCTTTTCTTTACTATCTTCTGTAGAATTTCCTGCACTTGAAAGAGAAAAGATTTAAGAGATTAAGGCGAACTCGACGAATTAATGGTGAATTTTGAATCAGGCTCAAATAACCTAATTGACTTGACTGATAGGGATGTGGATTTTTTTGTTGTATCATTACACTATAATGTTAGCTATCTATTTAATTCAGCCTTTTATAAACACATATAACTTATATACTGTAACCTCAGTACTTAGCTTTTACAACTATTTGCAAGACTATAAACCTTCCTGGAGCCGAGCCGTAAGCTTAAAGGAGAACTTTGAAGAGGAACTTTGAATCTGTCAGTTAAGTGACATACGTGATACTCTTTTGGGTGATCGTGTCTCTTTCGATCCATGACTGACTAGGCAGAAGATATTCCCACAGTAAGCTGCCATTTATTTCTTGCAGCAGACTGGTTGCCAACAACGACTATAACACTAAGTCTGTCCTGCTGTTTAACCCATAGATATTGATGAAGATCGGAAGACGATATTGATTCATAACTTTCCAAGGTTATTTGTACGTTAGTGAATGTAACGAACTCGATTGGAATTCGAACTCTGCTCTCCGATTTCTCATTGATTACTCTCTTGTCAATTGAAAAAGAAATTATGATGAGTGAATTCGGTTCCAAAAAAAAAATACTTTGAATTTGACTAAGGCGCCAATTCCCTGATTAGGCTTACTTTTTTCTTTTTTCTTTTTTTTTTTTTGTTTTTCTAAAAGGCCTCGCACATTCGGTAAGTGATATTGATCCGTGAGTTTGTAAATTTATACCCAACATTACAAATACGCAAGATGCAATTAAATGGCGCCATCTTTATTACAAAAAGTAACGGAGAATCGCCCTGAAAGATATCTCTCCTTGCGATGACCTTGATTCAGAGTTGTCCTCTTACACTGGTTCTTCATGACTAATTCTTCCCGAATGACGTTTTCAGATGGTATTTCACATTCGAGACAGGCTCTGGTGTGATTGGTTTACCAGTAGAGGAACGACACGATTTGAGACGAGACGGAAGAGCAGGCTCCACGGAACTGCTGTTACGGGATTGCTGATGGGAGTGTTGACAAACTCAAGTAGGCTTGATAACACACTTCGAACATAAAGACAGAAAAGCATGGCATTTAGTCGTAAAGAACCGGGGAAAACGTCGAGATAGAACTTGGTTGCGTTTAATGAGTATTCGTATTAAATGTGGTAAAAAGAACTAATTAAAAAAAAATATATATATTTTTTTTTTTTTTAAGCGTTTCTCCCCAAGCAAGGCGGGAAACCACTAGGACGCCAAGGGGTTACAGAAGATTTGGAGCAAGATCAGATAGAAGTGATAGAAGAAAGGATGAGGAGAAGGGTAGTGGATAGATCAAGGCAACTGGAGATATCGATTGACGTTACATTTGAATAGTTGGAGATTATAGCTCTCAGGGAAACTGGAATAGGGAAGGGAGTTCCACAGGCGAGAGGTGTGAGACATGAAGCTATTGGAGTAGAAGAGACGGCTACATTTAATAGTTTCGACAGTGAAAGGGTGAGAGCGGGATTCCAGCCTCGTAGGGCGCTTGAACTCATGAAGTCTGGGAACCAGCGAATCCAGCTCCTCGGAGCCATAAAAGTATTTGTAAAACAGACAGAGAGAGAGAGGCGACGGCGCGTCTGTGAGAAAGTGTCTGTAGACGAGATGCCAGAACAGGGCCAATTATATTGCATATCCGCCTCTGGAACCTATCAAGAACCCCGAGGCAAACAGAAGGGGCTCCAGACCATATATGGCAGCAATACTCCATGCAAGGTCGAATTGTTGATTTGTAGATCTGGAGGATCGATTCCGGGGAGAAAAATTTCCTGGCGCGGCACAAGGAGCTAACTTTCCTTGCGGTGGACGAAGCAATTGACTCAGTGTACTCAGGTCAGCTGTCAACGTAAGACCGAGCAGAGAGGTGCTCTGGAGAAGTTGAGCGTCAGACATTCTAATGGAGGGCAGAGAAGGATCTCTGTGGTGATTAATAGAGAGCAGTTTTGTTTTTGAAGCATTAAAGTTGACCAGACAATCCCTGCCCCAGTTCACAACCGATTGGAGATTCTTTTCGAGACGCACGGCCAGGTTAGTTTTGTCAGCGACACTAGATTGTTTTTGAGGCAGGAGTAAATTGTGGTGTCATCCGCGTAGATGCCAACTTGGGAATTTATGGCGTCAGGAAGGTCATTTATGTAGATAAGGAATAGAGTGGGGCCTAAGATGGAAGTGTCAAGGAAAACAGAACGAAAGAAAGTATTTAGAATCAGAAATATGAAATAGCACCCAACGCGAAAATGTCCTTTAAAATCATCTGATTTTACCCCATGATAATATTGTTTGTTTACACGTCGTAAAAGAAAAATGGTTAAGTAAAGACTTTACTTAACCATTTTTCTATTCGTAAGTGCGTCCGTGTGTTTGTGTGTATATAGTAGATATGTTTGCTGTTTACCGCATGGTGATTTGGGAACGTTTTTCTGTAAACACCGTGGCGTGTTATTATAGCTAGTTATTAATAATCTATCGAAAAACTTTTGGCGTAAAGAATTATGCTCTTTTAAATTAGTGTTGCATTTGTAAAATCAATGTTTTGTCCGTTTTTTTCTTGTCTAATAGCGAGTTCAAAGGGTTGTCCAAATGTAAGTCCCTTTTATGCACATAGCTTTTAGATTTCGAGATGTCTCGCCGACATAAGTGTTTTTACAATGCAAGGTTTTATTTAACGGCATTTCAAATGGTGGCGTGTTTATTTTTCTTCCTAATTATACAGGGTGTCCCAAAATAATGTATACACTCTTTAAATATTAATAGTTAATAATACATTACCGTGATGTGAGAACTTATATGGATGAAAATATTCAAAACAGGTGGAGTGGAAGAAGAGGGACAGTTGAATAGCCACCTAGATCAACAGATTTGACACCCTTGGATTTCTTTTTGTGGGGGTTTCTAAAAGACAACGTTTACAGCAGGAAACCTGAAACAATTGCTGAAATGACAGTAGCAATTTAAGAAGAAAGTGCTCAAATGCCAGAGGCAATGATACTGGACATTTGTAAGTCTATTTCTTCAAGATATGAAAAGTGTATTGAACAGAACGGCAACCAGTTTGAGCACTTGATGTGAACTCATCATTAATATGAATATTCTGCCATTGCCCCAAGTAGCTTTTATCTTATTAAAGTTAATTTTCTATGTTTTTTTGCATATTTTACTCTCAAGTTCTTTAAATGTGTATTCTTTCTTTTGTATTAATCTTATTTACAAGTCAAAATATATAAATTGAATAAGTTATAACGATTCAAAGAGTGTATACATTATTTTGGGACATCCTGTATATATATATATATATATATATATATATATATATATATATATATATATATATATATATATATATATATATATATATGGACTCTCCCATCGATTTGACGTAGAAGGGTCATGTAGATCAGTTCCTAGAAAACTGGCAGCCCGACACCAGCACACGTGATTTGATTATAGTGGTGAAGGTTTTTGCAGAACCATCCACTCTTTTTGAAGGGCCGAATACAGTGACTTGCTGCAATATATATATATATATATATATATATATATATATATATATATATATATATATATTGTTTAGCAATATTGGATGGCCCTGTAGGCAATCTTAACAATTTAGGTTACGTAAAAGACACTGTATTGGTAACAGACTCAGAAAAGAAACCGAAAAAAACTTATTGACAAAATAGTAACGAAAAGGAAGAAGAAGAAATTACTGTTATTAAGCCTCAATCAGTGTTAGAAGTTGAAAGGTCATGTGCGTTATCTACACTATCGAAAATGTACCTGCCAAGATACAATAAGATGGGACGATGGTGATAATGTCCCTAGAACATAGGTTTTCTCTTGGAGTTTCCATCGTCAAGGTAAATAGCCAGAATGTGTAGATGTCTGCCTTTCTTTAAAATAAATTATTCCTTAGTATGACTTCAGTGGATAGACTGGATTCATCGGTCGAGCATCGACATATAGAATTTATTGTTTCTTTATCTATATATATTTTTTAGTAATAAGTTTAAATCATTTGTCCAAGGCTTTTATGATCAAGTGTTTTCATTATTTAAAAGCATTTAATAACTTTTGGTAACATTATGCGTAGAATATGTGATTACGTAATAGGCAACATGAATTATTTATATTAATACATTTTTTAGAAGTGACAAAATAATAAACAGCTTATAAACATCGTAATTTATTTTATACATCTCTATTTTGGATATACATACACACACACATAAACACACTCACACACATACAGGATACGATGGGTAAATTGTCGCCATATTATATTTTTAATTTCGCGCATGCTGTGCGTTGTTCGTTTTTGATTTTTGCCGACTGTACACTATAGTAGGGTCAGTTGGGCACCGTCTGTGAGAAAAAGGCCACCATGACGCAATTCACTGCGCCAGAGATCTGGAAACGGCATGCTGTACTGCTTGGCATTCGCACCGTGGACGTGGTGGTAAAGATATAGAATTGTCATCATTAATCAATGAGACGAAAATGTGAACATCGTGGAAGTTTTAAGGAACAAGGGCACAAAAGCTAGATTTTTATTTATAATGAGAAAGGATCGAAATTTACGGGAAAATAAGAAAGGGGGGCTTAGAGAATCTGATACTCAGAGGACATGGTGAAGGCAAGAGAGAGAGAGAGAAGGATGGAAAAAGCAGTTAACCTACCTTATGTGCCTGTGTAGATGAATAACAGAAAAAAAGATGGAGATCGATATTAAGAAGACAGACATTTATTAGAGTAAATAATAGGAGGCTGTGCAGAGCTATGAGAGTCAACGTCTTGATCGGATATGAAAAATAGATGTTTGACAGGTTGAGGTGTTTTAAAGAATAATATATATATATATATATATATATATATATATATATATATATATATATTAATGCATGTTTCATTAAATAATATAAACAAGTTTTGTCTATTTATTTTAAGTAAGTTCCTTTCATATTGTCTGATAAGCTTAATAACATTACCATTGAAAGACGAAAAGAAATCACCATATTGATACATGTTTAAATCCAATCTAAGCTTTCGGCTTACATAAGCCATTATCAAAGATGACAATTACTTTTCAATATATCAACCAATACACGGACGAAACAATAATGATAGTCTGTCTTTGTTGCCGTTGCTTTGAAATTTTTCATGCAACAAAAACAAAGAATACTTGACTGATAAGGACGTGGAATTGTTTGTTGAGTCATTACACTTTTATGTTAACTACCTAATTTAGCCTTTTATATGATGTAACCTCAGTACTTTGCTGTTACAAGTATCTCCAAGACTATAAACCTTCCTGGAGCCAAGCCACAACCTTAAATATGCACTATTTACTATCAGCAGCGGGAAAATTTCTGCTCTAGACTAGTATGTCAATTTCATACAAAGAAAATCGGACGAGTGATTAATGTAAACAATACAAGGCTCCAGTGAGTGAGGGACGCATAGTGAATGTGTTGTTGTACGGGAATGGCTTTTTTATTTCTTAGAAATGTATTTCCAAGATTAGTGTGCGTCTTCCATGCCGCAGGATCTTGTAAACCGGAAAATAAGGTAATTATTTTTTACTCAACAAATGCTTATCTGAAAACCTATCGCTATTCCCATGGGAAATATTCTGAGCAGTTCCATTATCTAGTTTCAGGAGTTCTGACTTTACAGCCAGACACTGCCATGTTATAACTATTCTCATTCATTAGTGCGTTCCATTGGTAAGAAAGAATTTTCATTCGAATTACTTTTTTCCCCAAGAGACGCTGCGTTGTGTTACAGTCTTCCGAGAATATGCTTCACCTGAACACGTAATTAATACTGTTTAATTAAAAACAGATCATTTACTTAAATAAATTAGTATCTATAAAAATAACGTATAAACAGAAAGTTCATTAATATATATATATATATATATATATATATATATATATATATATATATATATATATAACCTTTATGCTTAAAATTATTCCAGCCTGTACTGCAGAAGGAGAATATTTTTTTAAGATCCTTGAATTTATTCGGAGATACGTGAGCTTTAGTTTTCCTTTTTTTTGCTCCACTGTATCAGATATTTTATTTTTTTTATTTACGTATTTTAATCGTAAATTTATTTGTTTTTTTTCTTAAATGATATATATATATATATATATATATATATATATATATATATATATATATCAACATTAGCTGGGCATTATGTCTGTGCTAGATGCCGAGCCCTTCATAGAAATATGATTCAATAGACAACATAAGTAGTATTTTTTATGCTTTTTCTCATTAATTACGTTTTTTTATGCTTTTTTCTCATTAACTACGTTTACCGCTTGATAAGATTAGCCAAAGTAGCCAGATAAAAAAAACAACCCCCAAAAAAACAACCCAACTACAAAAACTTGATATATAACAAACACCTCTACTTCAATCAAAGCAGTGACCCCTTGATAATGAAAAACAAACCCTAGATCACACCCTCATTTCAAAACTATAAATAGTTATTCCAAACATCGACTGAGGATGAGATTGCCACCCAGGAGTTAAGGCTTAATATTGAAATTAAAATTGAATATTGCTGACCAGTTTCGAAAAAATAATTTCTGTGTTGCAATGGAATCATATTTTTATAGGAATTATAATATATATATATATATATATATATATATATATATATATATATATATATAAAAAAAAAAGAACAGTAAGATATAAAATCTGGTGTTCTTATAGATTTTTTTATTTTTACAAAATAGTGCTCAAGGTAAGTTTACAGAGCATTAATATTATAAATTAATTGATTTAAAATATGTTTTTCCGCTACACAGTTCTAACCATGTTTCAAAAATGGAAGGTCCGAATCTAATTTTGTAAATAAATTAAAGACATTAGTTCCATTTCATCCTCAAGCGAATTTTGGAGTAACTTTTAAAATTACTGGGTTTTAAAGACAGCAAAAATCATAATTCACGTTTCCAAGGATACAGAGAAATTCATTTCAACCAGACAAGGGGTGTCTGCGTGTTCATTATATCTGTATTTTGATGTATCCGTTATTAGTTACGTTTTGGTAGGGGGTAGGGATGTATTTTTCAATTCTCTTTCAAATTTTTCCTACAACAAAAACAGACTATCATTATTGTTTCGTCTGTGTATTGGTTGATATATTGAAATGTAATTGTCATCTTTAATAATGGCTTATGTAAGCTGAAAGCTGAGATTGGATTTAAACATGTATCAATATGATGATTTCGTTTCCTCTTTCAATGATAATGTGATCAAGCTTATCAGACAATATGAAAGACACTTACTTAAAATAAATAGGCAAAACTTGTCTTTATTATTTAATGAAACATGCATTAATACACACACACACACAACACACACACACACATATATATATATATATATATATATATATATACTTTATTATATCCGGAAAAAAAAAATTTTACTACTTATCGATGTCGACACTGAAATTCGTCTTTCCCAAAAGTCGCTGCCTTGTGTTACAGTCTCCCGAGAATATGCTTCACTTGAACAAATTTAACCTCTTCAACACTATAGTCAACCGTTACAGACGCTCCATATCTTCATAATCTACAATACTTACGTACAGAAAACAAACCAATTCATTAACTCTCTGCCTTGAATGGCTCTTGCACTTTTCATTGCATGAGAAAAAACATAAAAAAAAACTACTTATGTTGTCTTTTGAATCATATTTACATGAAGGACCCGGCATCTACCACAGACATAATGTCCATCTAATTTTGATATATATTTTGATATATATATATATATGGATATATATATATATATATATATATATATATATATATTAATGAATTTTCTGTTTATCCGTTATTTTTATACATACAATTTATTTAAGTAAATGGTCTGTTTTTAATTAAACAGTATTAATTACGTTTACCGGCCTGAATGTTCGAGAAATTTCGGTGAATGTAATTAGTACTGTTTAATTAAAAACAGAGTATTTACTTTTAATAAATTATATTTATAAAAATAACGTATAAAGAAAAAATATATTAAATAATTGTCGGACTTAATCCATTTCATTATATATATATATGTGTGTGTGTGTGTGTGTGTGTGTGTGTGTGTGTGTGAAAGAGAGAATGGAAACCGAATGGCGACAGTCTGTTTTAGTGTTCCGCCTTCAGACCATGTGTGTTGGTAAATACACCGTAATTACTGACATTTAAGGTGATTTTAAACTTTTTGCCTGAAGTATATATATGTGTGCGCGCGTGCGTGCTGCGTGTATTATGAAACAATTATTTTAATATATTTTCTGTTTATACGTTATTTTTATAGATATAATTTATTTAAGCAAATGCTCTTTCCTTAAATAAAACAGCATTAATTACATTTATCGGCCTGAAAGTTCGAGAAATTAATGCGGAAATGTAATTAATACAGTTTAGTAATAGTCGGACTTCATCGATTTCATATGTTGTCATTGTTTACGTTAAGTTGCGTTTCGTGAGCAGATATGACCGATGAAGAAAAATCGCCGAAGATTGTGTTTTTTGTCAACAGTAATTTGGACTTCGCTAACCAGACGCTTCTCTGTAGCTAAATAGTATATCACGTCAGATCAAATGATGGACTCAGTGTAGGAATGCAGATTCGATTCCTGTCGTAGAACGCATATTTTCTACGAAATTTCTCGCCAATATTCTTAATACATATTTTCCTTGTATTTACATTTGCACGGCACAATTCTTCAAATATTTTATTGTTCTTCTAAGCTTTTTTTTTTATTTCATTCGTTCGCCAATGTTTTTAACACAATCTCTCCATCTTGTTTCCTTTTTGAGATTATATCCTTTTTTTCGACACCGGTCAATTAGTATAAAACTGAAATTCCAATATATATATATATATATATATATATATATATGAACAATAAAAAAATACAAAAAAATTAAATATTAAAATCTTCAGACACACTGGGTTGTAGATTAATATTCTTTCGTTCTTTTTATTATTATTTCATTTAGATTCCTCGACTAGCTTCGGCCAAATGGCCATCATCAGGAGAAGAAATATTTCTGCTTGCTGGTAGCAGTAAACTACAGAAATGAATGTCTTGATGGAGAAAATGAACTTTTGTCTGTAGTTTTCATTTGTATGTTTTTTCTTTTTTTTCTTTCTTTTTAACATGAATCTTTTAACATTCCTTGTGTTGGTCAACCAGTCTCTTTTAAGTTGTTATTTGAGATAAGAGCTGGATGGATCTATGCTTCTCTGAATTCCCTTGGTCAGTTTGACAGTTTTATTGGTCTTGGAGAGGGGATGTGTCTCTGTTAAGTATTTGTGTGTGTTATTTGGTTCTTAGGGAGGGAGGGAGTATATGTGTAAGTGTGTATATTGCTGTGGGTGTGTGTTATCATTTGGCTCATTAGGGAGTGAGTGAGTATGATGTGTGTAAGTGTGTATATTCGTGTGGGTGTGTGTATAAGTGTGAGGCCTCAACACCTCCGTACGCATGTCTGTCTTGTGTGGGTAATAATTTTTCATGTGGAGTCGACTTAATTCGATTGCGATAATTATTAATTCTGTCTTGAAAGGGCCATTCAGATTTTCCTACATATTGTTTCTGGCATAGTGTGCATTCTAGGAGGTAAATTATGTTATGGCTTCTACAGTTAGAATCGTGGTAGATTTTGAAAGTAGATTTAGTGATTGAGCTAGTGAATGGATTCTTGTGTTTAATATGGTTGCAGCATAAACTTCTTTAAAACTGTTAAATGGTTGGGAAAATCCTGTTGTTTTTGTTCTTAGTTTATTACGGATTACCTTGTCCTCTGAAATATGGTTACGACCTATGATTTCTTTTAGATTTCTTACATATATATATATATATATATATATATATATATATATATATGTGTGTGTGTGTGTGTGTGTGTGCGTGTGTGTGTTGATATAGTAGGAAAGAATGATCCGAAGTTCGTTAGTATTTTTTTATAAACAGTGCTCGATACAGAAGTAGAGCCTAGATTATAATTATTTTTTTTTAAAATATGATTTCATCCCGACACAGAAATTACTGTTTCGAAATGTTTAGAGACTAGATTTCACAGCTCGAGGCATCCCTCCTTCATTGTCAGCCTATTAACCTTTCAGCCACCTTCATACAGAGACGAATTATAATCTTTTGGACCGCCACTTCAGATGTAGCCACACTCTAACTCGCACGCAACCGTGTGGAATGTTTTTACTCGTGATATTTTTCAGTGACATTTATAAAGCTTTAAGTAAACTTATAGCAAATTCTTTAAATAAACTAGAATCGATATCTAAGAAATACAACAAACTAAATTAAAATATATTTCAATAAAACCGTAGTAAAAAAGAAACAGTTTTTTTTTTTAATAATCAAGGAATCAAAATAAAAAAGCTTGCCATATTGATAACATTTCAGTTTATGAAACTATTTAGAAGTTTTAACATCTAGAAAATTAAAATACTTCGGACTGAGGAATCGGAGTACCGAGTTCGAATTCCAGTCGAATCCATTACATTCACTTACGTGCTAATACCCTTCGGAAAGGTGTGAATCCTCTTCTTCTCAGTCCAGCTATGGATAAATAGCAGGACAAACCGGGTTCTATAGCCTTGGATGGCAACTGGTCTACCGCAGAAAGAAATGGCAACCTCCTGCAGGAAAAAAAATCTGCCTCGTCAGTCACGTATCGAAAGATACATGATCGCTTAATCGTGTATCACGCATGGCACATAACTGATTGACTAACTGACCGACTAAGATAATACATAGATAGATAGATAGATAGATAGATAGATAGATAGATAGATGAATCGGAGAGCCGAGTTCGAATTCCAGTGGAATCCATTACATTCACTTAGGTGCTAATACCCTTGGGAAAGGTATGAAAACACTTCTCCCCCCAGCTATGGATAAATAGCAGAACAGACCGGGTTCTATAGGCTTGAATGGCAACTGGTCTACCGTAGAAAGAAATGGCAACTTATTGCGGAAAAAATAATCTGCTTCGTCAGTCATGTATCGAAAGATACATGATCGCCTAAGTGTGTATCACTCATCGCACATAACTGAACAATCTGAACTCAAATAAAATATGTTATCGGCTTGAAACACAATGACGTAAGCTAAAACATTCGTTTCTTTGCTCGGCTTCCTGCAAAGTCAAAGAAATATGAGTTTGTCATATTGATATCATTTCAATTTGTTAAACTATTTTTGAAATTAGAACATCGAAAAAATTAAAATCTTTGTTTTATACAAGGCTGACGAGCAGGAGGCTGACCCTATACTAGCCTAAAGGATAATCAGTTTTGCACACACACACACACACACACACATATATATATATATATATATATATATATATATATATATATCATACTTATTATAAAACCCACGTTGTGTGTGTGTTTATATATTGGATCGGATTTCCTACATTTTTCAATCGATTTCAACAAATCTTCACAGAACTACGTAAAATTACCTTGCGGTGGTTCTAACAGCACCAAAAATTGGAGAAACACAATTGTTTTTGCACGAAATCAATTTGAAGACACGATTAAGAGGCATCGTGAGAATGAAATGGGGACAACTCATATCGAGTTATATTTATCATAAAACCTAGGTTGTGTGTGTGTGTGTGTGTGTGTGTGTGTGTGTGTGTGTGTGTGTGTTCGTTTATATATGGGATCGGATTTCCTACAATTTTCAACCGATTTCAACAAAACTTCACTTTTTTGGCAGGTAGTGTTTCTCATTGTCTTGCACACTCTTTTCTTTATTTTTACATTCAGAATGCTTTAAAAGTTCCATTTACAAGGCAATTGTTTATAATAAAATTCTATTCAATCAGTAGACTAATAACGATTGAAAACAATGTTTTTGTTTGAGTTTGGGTTTGACCAATTCGTAAAAAAAAAAAGAAAAAAAAAGAAGCTTATTAAGACATGCGTGTCCGTCAACCTTAAACAAGAATCTTTGTCAATTTTATTTTTCAGTCTTTATGATGGTCGATACTTGATCTAACACTTACTGTTACATCCCCGGGCAACGCCGGGCTCTACTGCTAGTATATATATATATATATATATATATATATTTAAGCGTTTCACCCCCAAGCAAGGCGGGAAACCACTAGCACGCAAGGGATTACAGAGAGTTGGAACGAGAGCAAAGAGGAGTAATAGAGGAAAGAATGAAGAGAAAGATAGGATCAAGGCATCTGGAGACGTCGATTGACATTGCATTGAATAGTTGTAGATTATAGCTATCAGAGAAACAGGAAAAGGGGAAGGAGTTCCAGACACGGACATGCATCTATGTTTGCGTTAGCACGATAACATCACGTCGACGATTCCCCCTAATAACACCAATACACGCAATCTACATAAACCCAAAATTTTAAAAAATTAATCAGTTTGTCTGACGATCGCAAAAAGCGTGAAACCCAGGGTCACAAACTCACATCAATCCAACCAAATATATATATATATATATATATATATATATATATATATATATATATATATATATATATATATATATATATATATATATATATATATATATATATATATATATATATATATATATATATATATATAATGTTTATGTGAATTTTTTGTTCAGGTTTATAATTTTTGGTGTGCACGCGCGTGTTAAATGTTGTAGAAAATAAAAAATAAACATTGATATCGTAATAGAAAAGTACAGAATGGTGGATCAAAGTTAGCTCAGGAACTGACAGTCATCCGTGCCCAGCCGTCACCCCGACATCACAAGATGGTATTTTCCTTCCTGAGCTTTTTTCTAAGTTAATCCGCCAAATATTTAGAGGCCCGCTTTATTTCCTTTACTCTTCTCTCCTTCACTTCTTTTTATTGTGGCGTTGAATTTGCTATTCAAAAAACATTCCTCCTTTTACCCTCCGCGGCCTCATTTTTCATTCCGTGTCGTCTTCCTTTTCTTTCCTGAGAGATGTTTTCATTTTAGTGGATTTTTTTTTCCTTTTTCTCTTTTTTTTTTCTTCGTTCACATTACGAAATTCTTTTTTCTCTTTTTTGAGTTCTTCCTTTTTTTTTTTTTAACTATTTTCTTCCTTTCTTTGTTGTTTTCTTTTCCGTTATTGCTTTTTTTTAGTCTGCACTTTTATCTTTGTTTATACCCAGATTTCAATCGCACTTAGGAAAAAGAGAAACAGTGTTAGGTCTCCTTGTCTGTGTGTCGTGGATTAAAAATTATTTCTCTCTTATGTAGAAAAGGATAGAGCGTAATCTTTTAATATTCATTGCTTGGTTGTTGAATCAGGGCAACCAAATGAGATCAAATATAAAAAAATATATATATATATATATATATATATATATATATATATATATATATATATATATATATATATTTTAAATAAAACAGACGACTTTAACGTTCATGTAATAGATTATTTCACCACAGCCCTTTTAAAGGACTGCGGATCATCAGGCTTTACTTCCAAAGGTTGAAACGAAAAATGAAAAAAAATATATATATATATAATGAGATGGAAAAAATATATATATATATATATATATATATATATATATATATATATATATATATATATTTGATATAGATTTGAGTTTGTGACACTGGGTTTCACGCAGGGTCACAAACTCACATCCAAATATGTTAACTCTATCTCTGATATTGAGCGCTTTTCTAATAAGTACCGCATATAATATATAAATAATTATATATATATTTATTTATATTTATATACACTTTCACACACACGCACATAAACATATATATATATATATATATATATATATATATATATATATATATATATATTATGAAATGGACAAAAGTCAAACAATTATTTTAAGACATTTTTATGTTTATACATTCTTTTTTATAGATACAAATATTCAATCAAATGCTCTGTTTGTAATAAACAGTATTATCAACATTTACCGGCCTGAATGTCCGAGAAATTGTCATAGAAAATCGATCCTGTATCCACCACGGACCCGTCATATAGCCTGACGTGGTTTTATCATAATGTAAAAAAGAATGTATAATCATAAAAATGTCATAAAATAATTGTCGGACTTTGTCCATTTCATAAATGTGTGACGTCATTTGTTTACATTTGGATACGCATCGAGCAGATATGAAAGTACGTGAGAAAATAAGGTAAAATTGTAGTTTAAAAACAGTAAAATCGACCTTGCTAACCAAAACGCTCCTCTGTATAAAATCGGTGAAAGCACCTCAGGCTATATGACGGTTCCGTAGAGGATACAAGTTCGATCTCTGTGCGATGACGCATATTTTCTATGACAATTTCTTGGACATTCAGGCCGGTGAATATCGTTGATAATGTTTATTATAAACAGAGCATCTACTTAAATATTTCTTGTGTGTGTGTGTGTGTATGTGAAATATATATATATATATAATATATATACATACATACATATTAATATAAATAAAAACCTTTTAACAAGACAAAGAATATTATTTAAAAGGCTCAAATTACTAATATTCCATGGAAATTTATGGAATCATAATCACGATCTAATTAAAAAATTTCAAAAAGAAAACAATTTGTCTCTGAAAAAAACTTTTTAAATTTAATTTAGGGCTTATTTTGATTTTGTAATGTAACTATAAGAACAAAAACATTTCATTTTTGTCTTGAAATGTTCGCAAGATGAAACGAGACGTCAAAAAGCTAAGAGTTTGTTTTTTTTCTTATACTAGGGACCTCCACTTTTTCGGCATAAATTTTCGATACCTAAGTTTAAAATGATTTTTTTAAAACGAAAAAACATTCTTGAATATTTCATTTTAGCTTTACTTGAAAGTTTAATAATTAAATTTATTATTTCCATTAAGTAAACAATTCTGGTGTATTTCAGATAGAAACTATATACATTGGAATGTCAAATTCAATTTCGATTTCTTAAATTCTCTTAAAAGCGGCCATTTTCTTAATTTTAAGAAATTTGTAAACAAACAAAAATTTATAGATTTTAAAAATATTTTAAAAAATTTCTGACACATTATTTTAGTAAAATTAGAAAATTTAAAGTTAAATTAATCTGATTTGAAAGAAATATTACTTATAGCATAAAAAAGTAATACACAACAAATTATTAACGATTGGTCCTGTTCATCTGATCAAACGTTTGATGGACTGTTGATTGACGTAGCGATGACAGCTACTACGGATGACCATAAATGGCAATTTTTACAATTCTGAATGAACGCTTTTTCTTTTATTGTTACTGTTATTTAAAAAATACAAAATAAAAAATTATTTTAAAAATAGATTAGCGCAACTACATTCATTAATCTTTGCAATTTTGGATTCGTAAATTTCGTTTCCACTTAATTACTATATCACATCCAGGAAATAGCCAAATACAAAATTTTACACGATTTTAAACTATTATAAATTATTATAATTAAATTTTTTTTAAAACTGAAAAAATTCTTGTAAAAATTCATTATTCATCAGAAAAATTTTATATCTTCAGACAATAATGTCTTTGATATTACTTATTTACGAAAGCATTTAAAAGTTTTTCTAATTAACTAATATCATATTTTTATTGGATTCATTATTTTTCATTTCAGAGCAGATTTTCAGTTAGATAGCTCAAATTTGAAAAAAAAGTAGGTGATTTACAATCTCCAAAGACTCCTACTTTTAACCAAAAAAAAAAATTTCCGGAAATAGAGAGGTTTTCTGCGAAATTTCATGAAATTAAGTAAGTGGGGGGTAACATCTTTAAAAAATATATTTTTTACCAAATTCTTTAAAAAAAAAAAGAATTCAAAAATAATTTCATTCATTTGTGA